GGTTCCCAGGGCTGGGCTTCTTGCGAAGGGTTCTTAGGGGAAGAAAAAGTGACATAAACATCAAAACTCGGAGGTCCGCGCGGATTTCTCGGATCGGCGCTGGACCCCCCTCCCTGGCGCGCGGAGCGCGCCAGGGGCGGCGCCAGAGGCGCCGCCGGGGGGCCCCAGCGCCGATCCGAGAAATCTGCGCGGACATCCGAGTTTTTTTTTAATGTTTATGCCACTTTTTCTTCCCCTAGTTCTGGCGGCCGCGCCCGCACTGTATGCTGAGCGTGTGCTCCCGACCTCTGGGCACGGATCGCCCTCGCTCTTGCTGCCCGTGCGCTCGGCACTTCGGAGCCCGGCCGGGGAGCGGCACGTGGCCCTCCGAGGAGCCAGTCCGCGGTCCCGGCCGGCGATGAGCACCACAGCATCAACCCTTCCCCCCCCTCCCCCTTCCTCCCCCTCCCCTTCCTCCTCCTCCTCCTCCTCCCTCCACCTCCTTCTCCTCCTTCCTCTCCTCCTCCTCCTCCTCCTCCTCCTCTCCTCCTCCTCCTCCTCCGCCTCCACCTCCTCCTCCTCCTCCACCTCTCCTCCTCATCCCCTCCTCCTTCCCCCTTCCGCCTCCTCCACCTCCTCCCTCCTCCTCCTCCTCCTCCTCCTCCTCCTCTCCTCGCCACCTCCACCTCTCTCCACCTCCTCAGCATCCTCCCCCTCATCCCCCCTCCCCCCCCCCCCCTCCCCCCCCCCTTCCTCCTCCTCCCCCGCCTCCTCCTACCTGCCTCCTCCTCCGCCTCCTCCTCTCCTCCTCACCCTCCCCCTCCCCCCTCCTCCTCCCCTCCTCCTCCGCCTCCTCCTCCACCCCACCTCCTACCTCCTCCTCCTCCTCCTCCTCCTCCTCCTCCTCCTTCTCCTCCTCCTCCTCCTCCTCCCCCTCCTCCTCCTCCTCCTCTTTCCTCCTCCTCCTCCTCCTCTTCCCTCTTCCTCCTTCGTCTCCTGCTCCTCACATCCTCCTTCTCCTCCTCCTCCTCCCTCATCCTTCTCCCCCTCCTCTCTCCTCCTCCTTCTCCTCTCTCCCCTTCCTGCGCCTCCTCCTCCTTCTCCTCCGACACCTTCCTCCCTCCGTCTCTCCTCCTCCTCCTCCTCCTCCTCCTCTCCTCCCCTCCTCCTCCTCCTCCTCCTCCTCCTCCTCCTCCTCATCCCCCTCCTCCTCCTTCTCCTCCTCCTCCTCCTCCGCCTCCTCCCCACCTCCCACGGAGCCACGAGGCCCGCTACTGATGTCGGACGATCGCAAACATGGATCAGGGGGGCGTGGATTAGCGACGGGTCCCGTTTCCATAGGAAATCGCGGGTTTTCGTCGCCGAGCGAGGCGGCACCGGCCGCATTTTGGGAAGGGCACCTCCGCCGATGCATGGATTCAGCGACGGCGCGCCTAATCCATGGATCGCTAATCCATGTTTGCGCGCCCCCGATAAGGACTGTCCGGACAAAAGGGCGATCGGAAAAGGGTGCCGCCCAGCCTGCTGAGGAGGAGGAGGAGGAGGAGGAGGAGGAGGAGGAGGAGGAAAGGGAGACGGGCGACAAACAACACACAGCAAGCAGTCGATGACCAGGAGGAGGCATGGGGCGCAGCACGAGGCCGAGGCATGCACGGGCAGTGGACATCCGAGCGACGGCGAGTGCCACGGGGCACCCCCACCGCGGGGCCGCCGAGCCGCGGGGCAGCGTCGGGCGCGTCGCGCCGCGGGGCGTCGCGCCGCGGGGCACCCGCCGCGGGGCACCCGCCGCGGGCGCTGCAGGGCACCGCCCGCGGTCCCGGCACCCAAAGGGCGCCCACCGCGGGGCCCGGTGCCCGCAGACTCGGCGGCGAGCCCCCGGGGGGAAGTTCGACTATACGTAAGAGTGACCTTTCGCCGGAGTGACCTTTGGTGCGGGCACAGATGGGCCCCCAGACGGCCGAACGCGAAGCGGTAGCCGCGGCTAGCGCGCCTGGATTTGGCCTCCCCGCGGCCCCCCCAAAGCCGCGCACCAGAGGTCACTCCTACCCAGGGTCACTCTTACGTGCAGCCGAGGGGAGTGCGGAGGGGCGGGCCTCCTCGGAAGGCCCGGGAGTGCCTCGGCCTTCCGAGGAGCGCTCTCTCCGTGCCTGCCCCGACGGCGCAGGAGGCCGCTCGCGAGGCGCGGGGGGCTTCTGAGCAGTCCCCGCCGCCTGCCGAGCGGGCCTCCTCCTCCTCGTCCCTCCCCCCGCCCTCGCTCGCCGCCGACGGACGGCCGACCGCGGCCGCCGGAGCACCTTCGGGCACCAGGCAGGGAGGCGCCGCGCGCGGGGCAGCAGTGCCCTGCGCGGTGCGGTGCTCGCCGCCCGGGGGCCCTTCCTGCGGCCGCCCGCCTGCCGGATCCGTGCGGCTCCCGTTCCTCTCCATGATGGAGTCCAGTTCGACTCCAGTTCGGCTCGGGCTCGGCTCGGGCTCGGCTCGGGCTCGACTCGAGGCCGTCGCGAGTGGACGGACGTTCGACGCAGCTTCGACGCACGAGCGGAGCGAGTGGCTCCAGGAGGGTCCCCAGAAGAAGCATCTAAGCCATGCGGCACACCATCGCGCCAACGGCCGCCTGTGGCGGCACAGGCCAGTACAGGCTCCTCCTCCTCCTCCTCCCTCCTCCTCCTCCTCCTCCTCCTCCTCCTCCTCCTCCTCCTCCTCCTCCTCTCATTCCCGATTTCCCCTCGCCTTGCTTCCCCGGAGCTGCGAAGTGCGTACGCCGTGTGGGCAACGTGCAATCCGACCCCTGAGCAACCACAGGGTGGCGGGTTTATACCCTGCAGATGCATTGAGCATGCCTTTCGCAATGACCCGCAACATGCACGCCGTGCGCGAAATTGTATCGGTGCGCCCTGGTACCTGCACCACGCACGCAAATTGTGTGCGCGCTTGCTTACGCCCGTGGACGTGTGCATGCGTTCCGTGCGCATGCTTGCACACTCGCAGACTCGCGCGCGTACGTATGCTCGGGTGCACTCGGCGCGCACGTCTGTAGCCCATGGCCGCAGCTGTCGGGAGCAACTTGCTCGGCGGGCCCGGACCTCCAAGTTGAGGCGGCTTTGGGGCGCATGGTCTCGGGGCTCCCCGCTTTGGCACCCTTGCCGGCGCACGAGGAGGCACGCTCAGGCGGGGCTTTTGGTGCCCACCATTCCCGAGGGCAGCGGCGGAAGCCCCCTCGGGCCTGGCCATGGCACATCCCCGCTTCCACTGCCGTGTGTTCCTAAACCGCTTCGCCATGATGGTGGTGGCGGGGCTGTCGTACACGTCTTGGTCCAGCTTCTACGCCGTGTGCACGCGGACTGCGAACCTGCAGAACCCTGTCGAGGCTGCGGTCTTCACAGCCATCATGCTGGCACTTCTGGCCCTGCTGGCGGGCTGGTACGTGAGACACGAGACGACCTTGCATGCGCAGGCTAAGCTCGCCATGGATGAGCCTCTGCTGCAGCTCAAGCGCGAGGAGGCAGCCGCGCTGCTCACTGCGGCGGTGCTGGACAAGAGCTTCGGAAACCTGTCCGATGCCATGGGGTACACCATCGTGGAGGTTTGGGCCGGGCTTGTCTGGCTGCGATTGCACTGGCTGGCTGCGCTGGCACTCGGTGCAGCCGCAGGTTTCGCTGTCCTCCTCGGCATCAGCGTCGCACAAGAGCGGCTGCCGCCGAGCGGCAGCGAAAGCACGGGCGGCTTGCTGCATGCGTGGCTGGACTTACTAAGCACAGTGTGGATCGGCAGTTTCGCTTGGTTCATATCGGTGCCTGCGCACAAGGCTCTCCAGGACGCCTTTCACATCGATGACGGACAGGCTGGAGAACCCTGGATGTGGATCCTTGCGCTTATGGGCTCCGCAGCTTGGGTCGTTGTGAGCGGTGTCTGCGTCAGCATGTATTGTAACTCAGAGCACGTTGAAGGTTCTGACAGCGAGGTGAATGCAAATAAGCCACTGCGGGTCCTGGTTTGCGAGAAGGTTGAGCCAATGTTCAATCACGCTGCGTTCTACACCAGCGCCAGGCTCGCGAAGACATGGGTGATGACTGAGTGGGCGTCTCAGGATTCTTATTTCCCAGTCGTTGCATGGACAACGTTGACGGTTTTCGTCGTGTGCTTCCTGGAGCAGCTGATCAAGTCAGTGGCGGCTCCCGACACGGCGTCGTCAGTCGCGCTAAAGCTTAAGCTGGAAACGCAGGTCATCAGCCTCACCGCCAGGACTTTTACCTGGATCGATGCTGCCATGGTCTGCGCCCTGTACCAGAGCAGGCGGGGGTACGAAGGGTGGGAGTGGATGGTGGTCGGACTCGTGACGCAAGGGCAAGCCCTGCTCGTGGAGCACCTACGGGTTCAATGGCTCCACGGACACGGCTTCTGCGCTGGAGCAGGCGACGAGGGGCCAGAGAGCGCGGAGGAGGATCGGGTCGGGCGAAAGGGGGGGTTTGGGAAAGGGGGGGTTACGAAATCTGCTGCATGCAGCTGGTTTCGGCCCGACCGAGGGGCCCATTCCTCGATACATGGGCGCCTCCGGCGCCGGGAGGCGCCGGGAAAATCAGCTACGTGAGCTGATTCTCAAACCCCCCCTTTGCTATCCCCCCCTTTCGCCCGACCCGAGAGGAGGAGCTCGGGCTCCTCTTGGACTGCAACGGCGGCGCCAGCAGCCGCAGCAGCAGCAGCAGCGGCAGCAGCGGCAGCAGTGGCAGCGGCGGAGGGCGCCCCCGGATGGTGCGCGCACGAGAGGGAGCCTGACCGCGGCTTTAATTTGCTTGCTTCTGTGCTTTTGCTGCTGGGCAGCCTGTTGCCTCGTGGACCACGCCGGTCCCGCCCGAGTGGGCCGGGTCCTGCCCGCAGCAGAGTCGCATGGAAGCGCGCAGCCGCACGCTCCAGGACCTCTGGGAGAGCCTGGTAAGGGGTTGCATTCGGGCCAGACTTCGGTGGCGAGTCGGGCAAAAAAGTACGCCAGAGATCCGCCGCCATCCTTGACCTCTGGGGCTCCCCCGTGCCTTCACCAGGCCCTGGGGTCGCCTAGAAACGGCTCAGGAATGAATGGAAGGTCACAGGGAAGGGGTCAACAGCTCTGGGGCCGACGACTCGGGCAACAATCTAGTCGTTGTGGGCCTGTGTGTGCTCGAGAGCTCTCCCAGCACGGACAACCAGAAATTCACGGGCATCGCCTCTCGACGGGTTTCCGTTGGCAGCCGCGCCCAGGCCTGCCTGCTATGAGCTGCTCCACCGTCCGTTCGCCATGCCCCGCCGCAGCGCGTGCCTTTCCCTGCACTGCCTGCAAACCGACGCGCCCACGATGATCGCCGGCCCCGCCGCTGCTCTCGCCTCCGTCCGCTGCTCTCCTTTCCTGCCTCCTGGGCTGCGGCTCCTCGAAGCCGTCCCAATCTGGCCTGGTGCCGTGCAGTCCCGTGTCATTTGGCTTTGTCCAGCCTAATTGTGAGCCTAATTTCGGCTGAACGGGCTTGGCAATTCTTGACACGTTTGCTCCGCCGCCTTGCCACCGGCCCCGACGCAGTGCTGCCTCCCTGCATGGGCCGTCTCACCTTCGCACTTCCAGTCGCTTCGCACGACGAACTAGGTCAGTCGTATACATGGGGTCGTTCCAAGAGTAAGAATGCATGTTCTTTCGTGAGGTCGAGAAGTTACCCCCCCTTCTCCATGAGAGATGACCTGGACGGGGGAGACAGTTTGTCTCGCCCAAGCCTCACGCCGACCCTCCTGAGCAAACCACCTATCACTTGAGCTAGTAGCTATATTGGCTTGCTCACGATACCTATGGAATTTGATGGTGCAGAAGAGTTTCACTGAGTCGAGTTGGAATGGGATCCGAACACATGCCATTTCAAGTGGTGCCCAAACCAAGGAGCACGACATCAAACAACAGTGGTCGGCGGCCTTGAGGTTGTTCAGGGACTCGCTGATATCGCAGGTGCAGGTTCAGATTGCCAGGTATGACGCTGTCATCAAACAGTGTGGCAAGAACAAGCAGTGGCAGAGGGCACTGTTATTGCTCAGGGAAATGTATACAGTTCAGGTCGATCCCAGCTGCGTCAGCTACACCTGTGCAATCAGCGCATGTGAGAGAAGTAAGCAGTGGCAGCAAGCGCTGTTGTTACTGACAGAGATGTGCGAAGTCAATCTGGAGCCGAACATCATCAGTAACACTGCCGCCATCAGCGCATGCGCGAAAGAAGCACGTTGGAAGCAGGCTTTGCTTTTACTCAGCGAGCTTCTGGCAGCAACCATCGAACCGAATATCATAACATACGGCGCCTGCATTAATGCGTGCGAGAAAAGTGGGCAGTGGCAGCACGCGTTGGCTCTACTCGGAGGCTTGCGTAGGAGAAGGTTAACTTCGAACCTCATATCCACTAACTAGTAAGTGCAGGCCAGAACGCATGCGCAGTGAAGGTTCTCTTGAGGTGTGTAGAATGCAGCTCGTGATCTATATGGTCGATTTACGGGCAGAAGAATTCGCAGGAGGGGAGGAAGGTTGACGAGTAGGGGAAGGAGGGCAGGCAGGAGATGGGGGGCAGCGACGTCTTTCCCTCGTGCTCTTCCTCTGCTTCTGCGGGCCATGCGTCCTGTGTACCCTTATGCGGTATGAGCTCGAACCCCATGTGCTCACCCGTGGGGATCGCTCGCTTCTGAGCCCATCTTGTGTTGTTGGTTTGTTCGATCGGAGAAGATCGGAAGAGTGTTCTCGAGGTTATCATTGGCTGCGCTAGCATTGGGTATCGTCGACCAGCCTCGTGAGTGCGCCACATGCGCGCACCGTCGCGTTCGTACACCCATATACGCTCATCGATCCAATTATGTATTTAGTCTTCTATACACATACATATATACATATCAGTTGATCTATAGTTCCATTCATCCGAATACCAGCAGCTATGCATGTATCACTATGACTATATATATGTACAGATGTGTGTGTAGGTATGTGCACACACAAACTCATATACATGTACTTATATACACATCGGTGTAAAGGATTATATGGAACGATCTGTATATATATATATATGTACATGTATGTCTATATTATATACATAATGTGTATATCAGCACACACATATACATATTCATGTACGCAAATGAATGTAAGTGTGTGCAGGTATGTGTGTATGGGTATGCATACATACATATCTATAAATGTATGCATGTGTGTATAATTACACATTATATATATGTATATATGTATATGTATGTGTATATATATATATATGTGTATATATATGTATAAATATCGAAGACGCCTACGGCGAATCACCGCCCCCTGCCTTTTTGGAAGCGCCTATGTGGCCGAACGTTGAGGCCAGACCTGCCAAGCTATCGGACCATGAATTCCCCGAATCGGTTTGGACAGCCGTCGGGGAACACGTGGGCATCTTGAAGGTCATTTTGGCCGTCTGGAGGCCATGTTGACCCTTTCGGGTCTTCTCGGAGGACGTCTTGGAGGGCTCTTGGGCCGTCTTGGAGGCCATCTTGAGCGTCTTGGAGGACTCTTGGGCCGTCTTGGGGGCCTCTTGGGGCCGTCTTGGGCCTCTTGGGAGATCTTTGGGGGCACTTAGGCCGTCTCGGGCGGTCGGAAGGCAGAAAAAACGCAAATGCCACAATCCTTCAAAAACTCATGGAAATCAATGGTTTGGGCATTTGCGGGCCTTGCTGAAGGCCCTCTTGGAGGCCTCTTGGGCCGTCTTGGGCCATGGGCCATCTTCGGCTGTTTTGGTGAGCTCCTGGCCCGTCCGACGCCGTCGGAAACCGTTTGGGGGGCCTCTCTGGGCCGACTTGGGGCCATCTTGGAATGCTCCAGGGCCGTCTTGGAGGCCATCTTGGGCGTCTTAAAAGCCTCCTGGGCCGTCTTGGGGGCCTCTTTGGGCAGTCTTGGGGGTCTCTTGGGCCGTTCTGGGGCCATCTTGGAGGCCTCTTGGGCGATCTGTGGGTGATCTTTGGGAGCTCTTGGGCCGTCTCGGGCCGTCGGAAAGCCGAAAAGAAGCAAATATCAGAATCCGTTTAAAAGCCTAAGGAAAATCAGTGTTTTGGGCCTATTCTGGCCTTCCTGGAGGCTCTCTTGGAGGCCTCTTGGGCCGTCTTGGGCCAGCTTCGAGCCAACTTCGGCCATCTTGGTGGGCTCCTGGTCCGTCTGACGCCGTCGGAAGCCATTTGCGGGGCCTCCTTGGGCCGACTTGGGGCCCTCTTGGGGTGCTCCAGGACCGCCTTAGAGGCCATCTTGGGCGTCTTCGAGGCCTCTTGGGGCGACCTTGGGGCCTCTTGGGCCGTCTTGGTGCGTCGGAAAGCAGCAAAGGCGCAAATGCCAAAATCCTGCAAAAACTTTAGGAAAGTCAATGATTTTGGCCTCTTCGGGCCTTCCTGGAGGACCTCTTGGAGGCCTCTTGGGCCGTCTTGGAGGCCTCTTGGGAGCCTCTTGGGAGCCTCTTGGCCCGTTTTGGGCCATCTTGAAGCCATCTTAGGTCGTCTTGGGTGCATCTTGGGCCGTCTTGGAGGCATCTTGGGGCCATCTTAGCCATCTTGGAGGCCATCTTGGCCGTCTTGGAGGCCATCTTGGGCCATCTTGGAGCTGTCTGGAACGGAAAAGCCCTCTTGCAACCACCTCTGGAAGATCTTTCGGTATCTTTCAGGGTGGCCGGCGGGACGCGCCGGAGCCCCAGGGGGAGTCCTTTTGGAAAAAGAGCCAAAACCAAGTCGTAAGAAGTCCAGCGCGCCAGGCACCCCTGCGATGAATCGACAGGGGGCGGCGGATATAGACCTTCGGGCCATCCCGCCACCGCGCCTGGGCTGTTTATCAGAGGCCTCTTGGATGCATATGAGGGTATCTCGGGATGCCTCTCGGGGGGTTCTTAGAGAGGTCTTGGTGGCTTCTGGGGGTCCTCTTGGGGGCTCTTGGGGCCATCTTTGGGCAGACGGCTCTGAATGTCCGTTCGTCGTTCGTGTTCCCCCTCTTGGGCACCTTTGCGCCGTCTTCGGGGCCTCTTGGGCCGTTTTGGGGCCCTCTTGGAGCGTTTTGGAGTCCTCCTGGGCGCCTCCTGGGCAGTCTTGGCGCGCTATTTGGCGCTTTTGGGCCATCTTGCAGCGTTAGAGACTAGAAAAGGCGAGAAGGCTCAAATCATTCAGCATCCTTGCGAAAATAAGAACTTTTGGCTTCTTCGGGCCCTATTGGGGGTGCTCTGGGGGCCCCCTGGGAGCTTCTTGGGGGCCGCTTTGGCCGTCTTCAAGCCAAATAGGGGCGATCTTAACGCGATTCGAGGCTCTCTTGGCCCGTCTTCTCGGCCTCCTCGGTCCCTCCGGGCCCGTCTTCGGACCCTCCTGGCATCCAGAAGACGCACACGACACACCCAAAGAGGTGCCAGGAGCTTCTTGAAATTCCCGGGAGCGCCCGGGAAACCCGATATACGGGTCCTTGAGAATTGAGAATCTTGGCTGCATCAGCCGCGCAGCTGGGAGCCTTCGAGCGCTCCACTTCGTGCCAAGGGCACGGTGACGTGTGTATATACACATACAGACATACATACCTACTTACCTACGTACCTACCTACCTACTTACCTACATACATACATAGACGCACACACAACACACATACATACACACATACACACATTACACACGTACACATACACATGCATGCATACATGCACACATGCATACATGCATACATGCATGCACCCGTGCATACATGCATGTATGCATGCAAACATGCAAACATACACACATACATACATACATACATACATACATACATACATACATACATACATACATACGGATACACACGTGCTTGTATGCATGGGTACATATGCACATGCATGCATACATCATACATGCAGTTGTACATGCATACGTATATACATATGCATGCATCCATACATTCATACACACATACATGCATACATACACGCATGGGCACATACACACATATACGCATGCATACACATGCACAAGTGTACACACATTCACACATTCATACATGCGCAC